CACAACAACATTCAGATTAAATTTTGTTACATATTATTTTTTCATTTAGCGCATTTATTTTCATTGTTGTGTTTACTTTGTGCGGTTGTCGCTTTGGAGTGTTGCGTGAAGTTTGTTTGCGCATACTCGAATGAGTCTGGATTTTATATTTACCCAAGCTCACGACTGCATGGTCAAGGCGTTGGTGTTGCTTTAGCTAACAAAATATATTGGATTTCGAAGTGTTGAGTTATTTATTGCGCATATGATGTCTTGATATTTATCTATTTATTACTTATTTCTGGTCATGTTGTTTAATTCAATCAATTCAATTTTCAATTACTTTGCAATAAATAACAAATTAGTTTCTTGACCAATCCTCCCTCTTACAACTCATTTAGTGGACACACAGATACATATACAGACATACAGTTTCCCTAATTATTAATTATTTTTTCATAACTTGCATTTTATGCAACAGCCACATTTTAAGGTGTGTGTGGAGCTGCCTGCCAAGCCCATAAAAAACTAAAGCTAAAAGCCAACTAGAACAACAATATTATGTTGGCGTGAGTTGCGGTTGTGTCTATGCTGATGTTACGTAGACATGAGATTAGGGGTTGGGCTTGGCCAGCCAACGGAATGGATTAAATTGCGCTCTACTGGCACTACAACCACATAATACACACGCTCTTCACCTCCACTGCTAAATTCTAGAGAAGCATAACTTTTTACTACAACAACTTCAAATTCCAAATATTTTTCTTTGAGTGCGCCCTTTTGCTTAATATTTGCCAAGCCCGAACTGGATAATTGTTTTCTACCGATACTCTTCTTCGATATACCTTAAATTAAAATTATAAAACTTATTTTGAAATTATAAACAAACTTTGCTTTTATATCCTTTAAATGTTTTGCGATAGTTCTTAAGAATGAATGGAATATAAGATACAAAATATTCTAAGGAGATTAATTCATGCTTAGTACTAACTCTCTTACCGTTTTTTCTTAGCTCTAAAAAGTCACTATTGATAATGTTTTTTAGGGTATATCGTGTTGCGACTTTGCATTATGAATGTGTGACTATTGTTTTTCTACCCCTTTTTTTGTCTCCTGTTCATGGACACGCACAGAAGTGAAACCACAGCGTGTTTCTTTTTTCGTTGGGTGCAAAGAATAGTATTAGTTTAGTGCTGGGCGTGTGCGGGGCTTTTGATTTATGGTTTCGAATGTTGCAAGTTGTATTTTTTATGTTAATTAAATTGCGTTGGCTTATAGTGAGTATGGTCAGTTAGAGTGCAAGTTACTCTACTCTGCAGCTGACTCTACTTATTGGACTCCGGTATTAAATGTGTGTGGATACATACATGCATAGGAGAACCAAACGGCCTTTCGAATGTCCAGGGCTGTTTGCTATGTTCCGGCCACGTAGTGCAAACAAATGAACTGCAGCTGCGTTTATAGTGATTACAGCTGTCTGCTCTGGATCTGCACCCTAAATGTTGTTGACCCAGCCAAGCAGCAGCAGCAGCAGCAATGCATGCTTATTAGAAATTCCATTATATGTAGCATACTTATGTGCGTCCATGTACAGGTGCTTCTGTCAACATAAGCCGGCAACGAGGCAGGTGTTGTCTTTGTGCGCGCCTCAATGGCAACAAGGACGTCACATACGGTTTCCCCCTGGTTAGACCGACGTGCTCCTGTTTCTGTGTTGCGGCTGCTGTTTTGCAGTGTTGTGCATGATAAATCTTTCAATATACTGCCGACGATGGGGACTGGCAAACATGTCAAGTAGCAGGAACAATATTCATTTGAATTTGCAACAAAAGCCTATTAAATACCAAAACAATAGTCCACCATAGCCACACACACATACAGATACACACACACACACACACACACACACACACACACACACACACACACACACACACACACACACACACACACATACATACACACACCAACACACACCAACACACACACACACACACACACACACACATACACACACCAACACACACATACACACTCAGACACACACACACAAACACACACATACACGCACAGATACATACACACAAACACACACACACACACCCAAACACACACATACATATATACATATGCATAAAGGAATTGTATACATACATCCTATGTTTGTTTGTTTTTGACTCTCGCACGCGAGTGAGTATACAAATTATTATGCAGTGATAAATATGCCCACATTTCACTTGTTCTACCCTTCCACCGTTTCCCTGAACACCATCTGTTTCTATTTGCGCCGTATGGTACGGGGTGGTTCAGGAAAGTTTTGGGGACTGTGTCTGATGCCTGTTGCTTGCACCACGCTCTAGGCATTTACCATTGAAAGTATTGTGTAAACAAAAAAAATCATGCTTGCTGTCGATTGTTGAAGGTTATATGCAGGGCTTAAATGGTATTGGTATTTGGCAAAACTATAATTATGCTGAGTATTGTGCTGCTAGTTAAAATAACATTTAAGGGCTTCATAAGACTGAATATAAATAGACATTTTTTGCGAAGAATGGTGGTAAAAAAAGAATTGTTTACCTTGAATTGTATTGTAAATATTTCTGCAAATAAGCTATGGAACAATTTGAAGCATCAGTATGCCTGAATCTTGTATATGGTGAGTTGAATGCTTTGTGAACGTATGGCAGGGTCAGGTCAATCGATCAATTTGGATGATTTAATTAATTCCTTTTTTTATTGGGTGCACCGTACAACAAGCAAGCAAAACCCAAAAATAACAGCCAGCTTTTTCTTTGCCAGCAATACAAACAAATGCGAAAACTTTTTCAGCAACAACTGCCTAACATAAAAGGCAAACTGGTCGTGCAATGAAAACCAAAAAAGCGAGAGAAAACCCAAAAATATAAAGGAAAAAAATATTCGTATCTAACTTTTCAATTTGGTATCACTTGCGGTTTTAACGAACCTGACGTTGCCACCATTGCGGCCAAACGATTCCCGCAATGACGCACTCCAGCATGATTGAAAAACAATAAACAAAGAAAAAACCAGCAAAGAGGACTTCCGCCCTGAACTGCCTAGATGCCAGTTGCTAGCTCCCGGCTGCATGAAAAGAAATTCTGGTGAAAACGGCGTGAAAACTGTTTACCTCTGGACAAACGATGAGTGAGTCCAGGGAATATTGTGGGGCCAGTGGGCTATGCAACAATAACAAAAACACGCTGCAGGTTGCATTGATACTGGAAACAGTACTTGCATTGAGCCAGAGGTTCACGGTAAAGGGGCCAGGAACTAGAAACTTGGGTCCAGGGACTTGAACGCGGTTCCTTGTTGCTGTGCTTGTAAACAAATCGCAGAAGGATAAGGGCAATGCACTTGTAAGCGAGCACTTAGTTGAATCGAGTAAATATGTAAGTTTCGCAAAAACTTTCTACCTGACATGCACATACTTATATGGCCCACTGTACTACGAGTAACCGTGCGCGTATGTGTGTGCGGATTTATAGACATTGTTTGACTATTTGTGCAATACGCCCTGCTGTGTCCTCCGAGTGTGCTATGATTTCTTGCTGCACTTACGAACCAAACACTAACAAGCAAAACTTTTGCCAGCAATAAGCAAGAATTTGTGGTTGCTTTTCACAGCTCCTACGTCCTTGCTGCACTTGCCACACTGCCTGTTTGCGGTTTTGACTGCACTTTGCAATTTCAATTATCAAACAAACTACATTTTCTTTTTCGATTTCCGTGTGCAAATGTTTATGCCACAAGCTTCAAGGCAAAGTTGAAAAAGACATGCTCAAAGGTCATCGGCAACATTGTCGGCCAATTATGTGGACTTGGCCAGCAGCTCATTAAAGTCAAAGTGTAATAACGTATTTTTCAGGCTGCCAACGAGAAAATGTTAAAAGAAAAGCCACACAGAATATAATGAAACTCATACATTCCATGCATGCCATAATAAGCAGATGCAGACGTTGCCCTTGCCCCAATATGCAAACAACTCCCAAAGGTAATTTATAGCACGCAGCTGGTATATAAAACAACAGAGCCTGGCAACAGGAAAAACAGCCGCAACGGAAAAAATGAAAACAATTTTATTTTATTTACCTCGCGAGAGATTCACACACCGTCCCCGATGAAAGGCGAGTTCTCGGAGGGACCCTGGCAAAGCCGCAAATGATGTGCCATTATTCTTAAGGGTACAGCCGCACGAAATGTGACCCAAATAAGATATAAAAAATTTTGAGTGCCTTGTTAGGCTATGTCCTGATGCTTGTAAACAGCCAAGTGGCTCTCTTTGGCGCCTTGAATTATGCTACGTATTTGTTGACAAACGACTTTCAAATGGGCGGCCATAAAGCTGTCGGAAATTGGCGTTGATTGTTTGGCAATTAATAAATGTTCTTACGCAAGTGGCCAGTTTCTGAGGTGCTGACCAAGCGCAGCAAAAGGAAATATTAACTTGCGACAAGGTCCTGCCCGTTGGCTTTTATAATATTATTTAACGTTCCGACATAAAGTTTGATCATTAAAAATCATTTACCGGAAATATTGAAAGAAGTTTAAAATTTAAATAAAATCTATCAACTATTTTTATGTTGCACTTCAAGTTATACGTATACGCAACAATTGAATACTTTAGAATTGGAGATATGCGCATGACGAATTTGTAAAGGACGGCACGAACTTATGCCAACGACCAGTGGGGCACAATATGCGAATGTCGATATACGCGTTTATATATCTTCATATTTTAGTCGTGATATATTGTATTATTTGGGTATGTCTGCTGTCGGATACGCGAGCTTTTCGTGTTTTGATGAGCGTTTTTGCATCACGAAAGGAACGTGACACACATCCAACTCCAGAAAATGCTCTCAAAAAAAACAATATTTTAAATATTCCGTTCGACAGTATTCCAATCATTTTTTTTTCCAGTTAAATATACTAAATTGCAATCGTAGAGTTTTATATTAACACATCATTTTTTCTGTGCATCTGTGTATTTTTCATTCTAGAGCTGGTTGAGTGCGCGCTGCGCAATGTCAATTTAATCATTGAGCCGCCGGCGGTCCGACAGGGCCAGCATGTTGTACTGCGCTGCATATACGATCTGGAGGGGGCACCACTCTACTCGGCCAAGTTCTATCGCGGTCAATTGGAGTTTTACCGTTATACGCCCGGCGAGTTTCCCAATTCCAAAGTGTTTCCATTTCCTGGCATACACGTCGACGTAAGTACTACAAAAACCCGATCTGAATGTACAGCTTTTAGGTTAAGTTGGGCTTTACGTTGGGTGGGCGTACGTTAAAAAGTAAAAAGATTTAAGACAGGGTTCCGCTTTTAAAGCATCCGCAACTGAGGCAGCTTGTTAACGTTCAATGCAAATGCAGCTGCCGAGCCGTCAAACTATCTAGCCTGTTGTCATTCGCGTCCGGATTGACCAACTGGCTGAGGCTCTGCCTGGGGTGGCTTTGACTCGGGCACTTTAGCTGGCACTGGCGTCACTTCGACGCCCTTAATTGCGCGCACACTGCATTTATTTATATTGTATATTTTATAACTTTTCGCTCATGCATATTCAGTTTGGCAGTTTTATTGTTATTGGCGGGTATTCAAAAAAGCCAGTTCATGCCAAGACACCTGCAACTGCAGCTGCCTAGCCTGAATGCCACGAAGCTATCAGAGCGGCTATCTGCAAAATATTTTCATTTAAATTTTTGTGTGGCAGCGTCTGAAATTTGGTCGTTCCCGTACAAGTGCCGCCCCGCTCCACTCGTGTCCCGAGTGTCGAGCCAGATAATTTTGCCAGATTATTGAAAAAGTTGCATCCTGCTGGAGGCTGGTCAGGGGCCGTCAGTGAAATTTTTGTTTCCCCGATAAAGTTGCACTGAATCTGTCCAAATATTTCATCAGGCTATTGAGTTTATGCCAGCAAGTTTATCTTTAGTTTTTGTCGTGCAAAACTTTAACTTAGTTGCGAGCTTTTATACAATATATATACTTTTTTTTAAGAATTTTCTTTTTTTTTTTATTTGCCATTAGCTGGTTTAATATATTGGAGTGCACTTTATTATAGGAGTGATGTCAGATAACATTCATTGCAAATTGTTCCGCTTAAATAAATACATATAAAGCTGATTTTTTATACAATATTGCAATTTATATTATATTCATTCTGTTCTCTTACCAAACGTCTCTTTAATAGGTAACCAGCTCAAATGCTACTCAAGTACTCATACGCAATGTGGGCTTTGGACTTTCCGGTAACTTTTCATGCGAGGTGACCGCCGATGCGCCGCTTTTCTCTACAGCTACTGCAGTGGGGATCATGCAAGTTGTGGGTAAGTCAAAAATTTCCAATCTTACGCCTCTTTACCAACAGCCATCAGATAAAAATGAAAGCTTAATCGAGCCATGTGGCATGTCATTTGATATTTGCGTATCCTACGATTGCCTGCCCTAAGTATGAATTAAGTACCTGTAGCTGTGGCAGATTAAATGGGAAAAAAAACTTTTTGTAAGCGGTAAAGGCAATTTGCGGGCGCTAAGGCCGCAGAAGCAGCTGTTGAAGCTTTAAAACTTTTGTGGGGGAGGCAACTTGTGTTGAAAATTGCCTCATTAACAGGCTATTCGGTCTGACAGATAAACATCGTGTGGAGCTCCTGCTCGAAGGTTGTTGCCACGCGCCTGTCTGGGTCATTTAGTAGTCCTGCCATCGCATCAAGCATTTCACGGCCTTATGCGTTTTAAATGAGCGTGCTATGGCACGCTCGGAATTAGGAATTTAATCAGTAAACCAGCGTCATGGAGGGCAATAAGTGGGAGCCTATCAAGTATATATGTTGTTGTTTGCGTTCATACAGTAATCATGGCTGAAAAAATGCAGCTGAAAGCATTGGCTTCGTTACCAATAAATGCCAGCAACAATTGGCAATGCAGTCGGTAACTAGGTAACTGGGTCGATAGCTCATAAATGGCACACAGCGCGTATGCGTAATCTCGGCTATGCTAACGGTGCGGCATCAAGAGCAACAGCAGCATTGCTCAGCAGTTAATCTTTATATTCGCTTCGCATTAAATATTGGAGAAATTCGCACAGACAGCTCAATTTAGCTTCAGTGGCTGATTTTTATATCACTTGCCGCGCAATTTTCTTTCTGCTTTGCGCACCCTGCGACTCCCCGGCCCACTCAAGTTGCTGTGTTTGTATGATTGAGCACTTGCCTCGATGGTTAGCTGGGTGCCTGGGTGCCTGGGGGCTGTGTGGATGCTTGCTTATTGCCCGGCATTAAACATTTAGATGTGCGCGTCTGGCGCGAAACTGGTGCCTTTATTAGGTTGCCATTACCTCAATGTCTAACCAGTCTGGCTGCCCGGTCGCCTGGTTGCTTCGCTGTGTGAGCTCAATATATTTAACGCCGCATTTAGCTCGCTTAATTGGCCGCTTTTGGTTAACTGGCATCAAGGGATTAAAGCTTTGATCAAGCATTTGCTTTAAATTCATGAGATTACAGCCGCACCACTATGCCCAGGGCCATTCAAGGACGCCTGAAGCTGTTTTAGTTATTCAAGTTTCATTAAATGCTGAGGCTTTTAATTGGCTGCGTGTATTGTTGTTTCTGTATGCTTTATTTTTGTTGTTGTTTTCCCTTCACATACATCAATATGAGATAAGCCAGCGCGCCTGACACACTGACAGCACGATGTCTGAGTCTGCAAAGTCAGACGCGTGTTAGCTCATGTGCGTCCATGTAGCAGAGTGTGTCTGTGCAAGTGTGTGTATGTGTGCATGGGCTCGTGCTTGCTGCTGTATCTTTCTATTGTACAGCTAAGCATTTGCGGCTTATAATGTCGTCGACACTAAGACCCCAATAACTTGCGGGCTAAACAATAAATTACTGTAGCAGCAACCAAAGCAAACACAAAGCATATTGCGCATACGCCTAGTATAGCAGCGCCTACAGAATCCTTAGGTGCGACAATGACTAGTAGCTTAAAGTAGTAACAGCAAAGTCTCTTTTCTACTTTAAGAAGTTCAGCGATAGACAAGAATTATTTTTTATTATGTTATCAAATATTTAAGTAAACGTATTCACTTTGTTGTTCAAATCAAAAATCCAGATTAATGTAATCTAATCTGACAAAGTAGTTTGGTTAAGCGATGAAATAACAAACTTACAAGAAATAAAATTATTTATTGTATAGGCTTATTTAATTTGTATTCGTAAATACGTTAGTGATGTTAATTGCATGTCATAATAGTTTCAAAATATTTTTTCACATTTTGCAAAGTTGAAAAAGAAATACTTGTGATGATAATTGCGATGATAAAAATAGGTGTTTATTTTGAACTTAAGTAACGTCGAATAAATGTGTGTAACCATGCTGTATATGAGAACATGCTAATATCAAAATTTCGGCTTTCAGTAAGAAGTCAAAGATATACTCAAGTACAGTTGGTCATTTGATTGTCTTGAATTTTATGGATATGCTTTCCTCTATGTAATCTATGCAGTCTTCCTTTTTCAGACATGTCTTGTGACTTATGTTTTATGCATTTCCGCTGGCTCATTGTGGCTTCCGTTTAGCTACGCCCACTCATTTATTTATGCAGCAGCTCTTTTATTCATGACCCGTTGTCCTTGAAGCAAATAGTCCTGAGGTTTAATCGTGTGTTAATGAGCTCAAGTGGCAATCAGATGGCGGGCCAAGACGCCAAAAACAAAAACGAGGCCAAAAATAAATGCGACTGCGTTTCGCTGCTTACACATAAAATAAACACTTTGTCCTTGCGCTTTATGGAAAGCAGCGCGGCAACTGCTGCTATTTGGCTGGTGACGCTTCGCGGCAGGCCCTAAACAAATGACGCTCGCATTTGAATGCCAAGGCAAGCTGAGCAAAGTTATGCTAATTCACGCTTTCATTAAGTCACAATGCCACACAGCTTCTGGGCGCAGCAGGCGACCCAAATGCCGTAGCACATGGTTGTGCAAGTTTGTAGATAGTTGGCAAACATTTGAAGGGCTTAAACTTTAATAACTTAATGACATAAGTCAAGCGGGGATTCGCATACCTCGCTGCTGGCCAAGTGCAAAGTAGGCTGGTCAGCTGCTAAATTAAACTTAAAGCCGGTCCACACAGATGACCCTCATTAGGAGCCTTTTGGCGTCCCACACAACAGTAAAACCAATGGAAAAGGTCAAAAATCTGGGGAAAAAAGCCGCAGCAGCCAAAAGAATAGTTGGGGCGACGCCATTGTCGGTATGTGTGTGTGTGTCAGGATTAGAGCGAGTTGCCTTGAGCTATTTCGAGATTCGGGACGCTTTCGAGCAGCCCAGGCTCAAAGTTGCCGTTGCCGTTGCCGTTTTTGTCATGGAAATTACTTTCTTCATTAGTTACTTTTGTTGCTTTAGTTGTGACTTTGACTTTGCTTTGGTTGACTTAATTAAAAAGTTGAACGTAGCCCCGACTGCTGTTGTGGTTGGTGTTGAAAGGATTGAAGTTGTGGGCGGCACTGCGTCGCCACTTATATACCTATTAACATTTTGTAAAAGGCCTGAAGCGACGACGAGCTGCCCTGGTCAACAATCCAATCGAAACACAGTACCTTTATATGGATGCCTTAATATAAAAATATATACTTTGCTATTCTTGCAGAGCTGCCCGACAAACGTCCTCAACTGTATACGGAACACACGCGCTATGAGCCCGGCGATGTCCTGCGCGCCAACTGTAGCACGCCGCCATCTCGACCACGTGCCGAGCTAAAGTTCACCATCAACAACATGGTGGTAAGTACAGTTATTGGTGAATCAATGCTCTTAAATCTATATTTGTGGCTTGCAATAAGAGTCGCAGTTGGCATAGAAATATACTTGAATTTATTCCTCTGTCCTTTTCATAAAAATATAAAAAAAATATTAAAAAACGAAAAGAGGAAATCTGACAGCGGGTCAGCGATTATTAATGTTCAAAGCTGTTGAATCCTTTGAAGTTGTGGTCTATTCCGATGAGAAATGAAAATGAAAATATGCCAGCATAGACGGCCCCCCATTCAAGTTGCCTTTGTCCGTATGCTAACATGGCGTATGCGCAATTTTACACCCTGCCAGCCAGCGCACACATTGTCATGTGTATTAACAATGCATGCAGCGCAGCTGTGGCCGCCTTCTTGTCGTTTGGTTACTGTGAAAACGGATTTCTATGCGGCCGCAGCAAACATTACAAACACCAGCTCCTTTGTAAGTCTCAGGGACCAGTCCCCGGCTCCCCCGGCTGCTAGACCTTTATTGCATTTGGGCTTGGGCCACACGTCGCAGCTGTGCGGTTGTGCAGGCTGTCATTTTGGTTGAATTCTCACTTTTAGCTGCTGGCGTCACAGCTGCTCGCCCTGTTGACATTGCCGAGTCTGCTAAGCTGTCAGAGCGAAGATTTTTGCTTCACAGTTTTATGAATATGCATGCCCCATCCGTCGCGCTGTTGTTGCTGCTTCTCTAACATCGATTTTTCTATAAATTGGTGGCTGACTGTGGCCAAATGTTCGAAACGGACGCACCTAGCAAGATGTCAAGAGCAGTTAAGTGGTCAAGTAGCAGATCATCTTATCCGTTTGGCCCGCCTCACATCAGTTTATCTACATAGGTAGCCATAGACCAGGCGATGAGACTGCGTCTGCCTCAGGGAGAACTTACAGCTCTGGCACAGCGAAAGTCCGATTTTCAATAAAATAACCGATTGCCGTTCGGTTGAGGGTGCATAACTTTACATCACTTAAGTAGTTGTTCATTTACCTTTTCACTTTTTGGGTTGCATAAGGAACTGTACTCAATAAAGTTGGACGCTTTAAGCAATCCTTACGCATGATTGATGGGCGAATCAGCAGCGGTATCTAAGTTGTACTTAGAAGATCGCTAGTCGAAGTGACCAGTTATTAAGTCACCTGAACGATGAGGACCCCGATTCGATGTAATAGCTAGCTAATTTTATTATAAATAAATATGTATATGAAGAAATTTGTTGTTTTAAAGTAGTAAGCTTTTTTAATTAAATAACCTCAAAATCGATTTGGGAGTTCAATTATTTATGTTTTATTTATAGTAAAGAATTGCTTTGATCCATTTTACATTGGAAGCAATGGGCTAATATTATCTTGTTGGTTGGCTTCTTGTCTTTGGCTTCGGGCAGTTTGAAAGTGTTGTCATGCCATTGAAAAATGGTTGCCGCATTCGTGCAGCTTGCTAGCATGCGCACATTAAACATGATAAATGAATTCAAATCATTTGCACCGCAATAACTCGAACTCAGCATGGGGCAGGCTCCATCGCTTGCGAGCTACAATAACAACAGCAACTACAACTACAACAACAACTACAATAATGGCAAGGCCCCGCAGTTGCTTGAAAATGAAATGATAGCTTATCGGGAATGCCAAGTCGAGGGAACGAGCACTTTTGGCAAGTGCCATTGCCATTACCATTGCCAATACGGGGGAAGGCAACAAACCGTAAGCAAACGTGGCAGACGTTGACTAAAATTGAGTAGAAAACGATACCGCAGGAGAAGGAAGATATATTGCAATTGCCGATCACAGGAAACAAATGAATATTTCATGCTGTGCAAATCAACATGAGGCTGGGGAGCAGGCGCACGCACACACACACACACACTGTAGCATATTCCACGTGCCATTTTAGCAGCAACAGCACCAGGAACTTCACCAGGCAGCGGCAACAAAGTTTACGTTTGAAGGTAACCTGCCCCGGAGCAGCGCCTGTGGCATCTGGAGCCGGAGCTGAACTTTATGTTGACAAAGTTTTTTGTGGTAAAAAGCCACATCAGTAATTTGCAGAGCACACACAAATACTAACACACACGTAGCCATGACATATGTGGCCTGGTTTAGGGCTGCTGTGGCTTCGTTTTCGGCTGGCTGCTTCCGCCGGCCCAGGCATTAATCATTTGGCATGTAAATTGCCAATTAATAACTGCTGCATGTCATTTGGCATTCGGCTTCAAAATGTTACGCAAATTTCCACCCAGGCAGGCGGAACGGATTGGGCGATGCTTCGAAGTTAGAGAAGAAACTGAAACTCAGGCCAACGAACCTATAAACATTGCCAAGTGCTAGGCGCATTCACATGGAGCCCTTAATGAAGACAAATAGCACTTGGTCTCTGCCAAATTTAGCGGAAAATTGAAAAAAGCTTCGCATAGCAGGTCGTGTTGTATTTTCAACCAGCCTTGCGACAAAGTTCTTGGCAACAGCCCCAAGATATTGCAGTACCATCCACAATTTATACGTTATCGATACGCTTGCAATGCATTGCATACAGACAAACGACAAATATGTGGTACACAATGCTATAAAATATAGTAATTGATATTTTAGCCTAACAATGCACACAGCTTGTGGATGTATTTTATGAGTGAGACTTTTCAGATGTCTCGCCTGAACTTCAATATTTGTTAAAAAACTTGTTCACAAACAAATAGTATAGTTTCAGCCAAAATGTCCCCATATAATGGAATAAACTAATAATTCAAATTGAAATGTTTCTCTGTTGCTCTTAAAAAAAACACAATAAATTCCGTTTACATATCTTTTGAATTCTTAATACTTAGAAATCTTTAAGGCTCAGTCCCATTTTTAAGTAAACATATAGGCTTCTGGCGAGCAGATTTTCATTTTTTGTGGATTTGTCAAAGCTCTATGAAATGAAAAGCAAAGCACTTACTGAAAAATGTTTCACACATTTTCACAGCTTTGCGTTTCTGAGATGCCACCCCAGTTGGGGTTTTAAAAGCGCAGCTCTATATAGCAAATGCACAAAACTATTAAAATATATAATTTCTCTTGTTTGCACAACATAAGCAGAATGCAAAAACTGTGTGCTTTTTGGCATGCGCATAAATAAAAATTATTTATATAAGCGCAAATCCTTTTCTACATGCTCTTATACGGACACGCCCGCCGCACACATATGTATAGAGCAAAGCAGATCCGACGAGACTAGAGCAGAGTGGGCCAGCCGTGGCTACAATTTTACAGTGAATTGCACTAAATAACTGCCATTAAGCATAAAAGCTGTTCTCGCATGAAGGAGCTGCTGGCAGCATTTAGGCTAAATGCAAGTTTAAGCATCTTGAAGCTGGCGCAAATAAAGTGGACTTACGCAGCAAGGATTCACGCAGACAGAGACACACACATGGACATGGACATGGACACGGACATGGACTTGGACATGGAGTTGGACATGCACAGAGAGCAGTAGTCCGTTGAACAAGAAACACCAATACAAATGCAGTTCGAATAAAAGGATAAAATGGCGCGTATATGAAAAGAAAGAGAGCTGTAAAACTGGCTAAAACTTTCATCAATGTGTCGTCTGGCGCATTTGAGCTGCATGTCCTGCCTGCATATGCCCTGTCACCGTCTCTCTGTCCACATCTTCAGATCGTTTGCCACAACCAGTGCCACTAATGTGCGCAATTGTGAGACGCTTCCTTCTTGGGATTTTGTTTGTGTTGTACTCCAGACACCGCCTGCCGCTGCTTTTTGCTGCATTACATTAACACAGATAAAGTTCCTTGATACATAATTTCCATGCATACACAAATAGCCGCCAGGCTAAGCTGGATGGTTGGCTGGCTGGCTGGCTGGCTGGCTGGCTCGCTGGGTTGCCGGCACATGTGGCCAACATCTCCAGCCTCTCCAGCAGCGCACTGTGCCAACTTGCAAATGGCGACAAGATGCTAGCTGGCAAAACTTTTTGCTTGTCCAAAAGCAAACAAAAGTATTACGAGTACCGGGGCTAAACGTTGCCAAATGTTGTCGTTGCCGTTGTTATTGTCATTGCTGTTAAAGTTGTTGCTGTCGCCCTAAAATATGCAAATGCATTTGCAAGCGCTGAATAAACAGGCACAGCGCTCAAATTATTGTCTCCGCCTCCAGCCTACAGTCTATTTAATGCTCCCTTTTGTCTTCCATACAGATAACAAATGCCGAGACCCAGTATATTCGCACAATTGATAATCTGATCGCTTCACGTATCTCTCTGAAGCTGCAGCTACAGGGCGTACACTTCTCCAGCGTCAACACGCTCATTTATAATAGCGTAAATTCTGTTTATGGCCATGGCGGACCCATGTATACGCCTAATCCAGGTGGCTTGGTACTGCGTTGCACCGCACAAATTGGCGACCTATACCAGGAGTACAAGGAAATTGAATTGGGCACACCACAAAAGGATCCGGTGCCGGCACGTGGTGAGTTCACATATTTTTAAATGTGTGCCCTGACATTCTAAACTAATTACGCAATAATATATTTGCCTTCCGTTTCCCTTCTTTTTTTTCAACTCTTCTCGTATGCGCCTCTGTTTGCTTGGATGCTTCCTTCCGGATGCAGTTACGCTCTCTTCCGGCTCGAGCGTGAAAAACTTCTTCAGCACGTATTTCTCCACATCGGCGGCATCACGACGCGTCGGCGGCGTCCATTTGGCGCCCATTACAATGGCGATGGCAGCGCTTCTTGTCAGTGGTGGCGCCCTGCTTAGCCAGATGGTCCGCGGGCTAGTTTTGCAGCTCATACCCATTGACGCCCGCCCAGCTATCGTGCATTCCAACTCCACTGACGGTCGTCTGCCCACGCTGCCCTGCCTCCAAGGCGCCATTGCAGCGGCTGGCTTGGCCAGCTCGGAGATAATTAGCTTGGGAGCTAGCCGTGGGCAGCAGCTGGAGCTCTGTGCGTGTGTTACAAATTAGTTTAATTGTCAAGTAATTAAATTACAATATATTTTGTATGCAAATGAAATTAACTAAGTATACATATAATGCATATGTGCGTGCAGTCAACACTTAGTTGGTTTATTTAGTGCTCTCATTGTTTTGATTGTTTTTTAATTTTGTTCTAATTTAAATTTGATAGCTTTTAATTATATCTACATTTTTCAATGTGGTGTCTAAACTAGCGAGCTAAAACCAAAGTATTTTTAAGCAAACCATTTGAGGTCAGCCTAGTTAAGCCGATAAATTCAGATGAAAATGGATTTCAACCATTAAATAAATGTTCACGTCTGAAATCAAAGTAAAACTAAAACTACTTATTAAATGTGCAAACTAACAGAAAATCTAAGGTATGTGTTAAAAATAAAATGGCTAACCAGCAATAAAAAACAAAAAAAAAGCAAAAAAAAGGAAATAAATGTGTAAAATATATTTAAAAAATGCAGTAAACAATTATAAATGAAATCTACTCGTAAAATGATCGCCTTGTGAGGGCATATTGTAAATGGTGGTGAAATTGCATAAAAATAAAAGAAACAGTGTTAATTTTAAAAACAAATCAATCGAGTTGTTTCATTTCTTTCTGGCATATTTCTGATTTGCTTACAGAAATATCCAAATCTGACATCTTGTACCATCAGTTGGCTGACAAGAGTTGTAATTCATTCAAGCGACAAGTAAAACGGTATTTTTCAATTCAGGAAATCTTGCAAAGTTGATTTTTGGCGTTAAGAATTCTTGCACAACATTCTTGCAACAAAGGCTTGCAACTTCACAGTGACTGCGTCTGCTTATTGTCTGCATTCGGTTTGCCTGCAAAAGTGTGAAAAAACTTGCCTTTACGCAGCGGAAGTGCCGAAAGAGATATAATATAAGGAATCTAGTTCATTGCATTGTGTGCGGCATGCTTTTTAGTTGCCGTTTCCGTTCCATTCTGCATGCGCATTTTGTACTTATTATTTTTTGCAATTTCTTTGAAAAATTACTGAAGCGCACACTGCTGTTTCTTTTCAATAGCAGCCAAGAGTTACAGCAGTTCAAAGGACTCTCTGAGTCGATCTGTTCTGCCAGTAAAATAATTACAGAATTGTACACAATACTTGCTATACATATATACTAGTATCTAGTTATGCCCCATACAATGGTAAGAAGGATAGCAAAGGCAGCAGTGATATGATTTGTATTTGGCAAAAATAATAATTTAATTTGATTGAACACTGTAGAAATACTATAGTAATTTCTATGTTTTCTGACTTTAACCTGACGACCAGCAGTTGGTTTATTCTGAAAATACATTTTATTTTTATTTTTTATTTTTTCTATCGCTATCTGGGAGCTATAAATTTCTAAACCAGTCAAAAGTATTATTCAGAGCGAAAGAGATAGAGTATCAGAACAAGGAGAGGTGAAAGGAAGAGTGGAAAAGAAGAGTATACGAAATTTGCATTCGACTACCTAAAAGGCCAAATCACGAGAAACAAAAAACTGACACTAAAACCTGCCCATTGCATTCTCATGAGCGAACAAATAAGACTGCTTCTCTCGACTATTAGATATCCGGTATCCAGATGTGCGAAAATAAACTTGCCCATATGTATTGTATATATTGTATGTAATATATAAATATTAAGAACGAAACTGTGGTTATTTTTTATGTTTTTACAGTCAGCAAACGAGCTCTCGGACACAGTTGATGTCCGAGTGCTGGGTACAAGAAAAAGTAGCTTGTGTACTGTTATGCGTATTCGAACCCATCATATTATGTCATGTGTATATGTGTTCCCTTACCTGTTTGGCAAATATACTCGACTGGAAATGCAGCCCATGCGCTAATCAAATCCTTCGCTAATTCTTTTGCCATTGGCTATTCAAGTTCCGTTGACCAAAACAACATCCGACACATGACAGATATCCGTGGCAAGGTTGTGTACCCTACGTACATTGAAATTTCATTATCCCTAATTAGTTTCCAGCTTCGTGTCACTAGGGCCGTCAACAGTTTGTTTTCTGTTGCCAACTCACGTGCAAAACGGGCTGCTACCAATGAAATAGTGGCAACATAGGTGCATTTCCAGTGGCCAGGCACAACCGAATGATGCAGTGCTTCTAATTTGAGTCAGATTATTTGCATTCACACTTCATTTCACAGCTGCCAGTGGCAAGCACACAAAACGCATGTTGCCTCGGATATGTTGAATGGACCTGCGGGCCACAGCTTATTTATGTATGCAGAATTAACACACCGAACGTGTTGTTTTCGCTACTACTGATTGATAATTTTGTTAGCTGATATCAGAATATGATTTGACCCACCGCTGCACCCGGCAGAAATCAATTAGCTACGCGCATCGAATTACAAATTGCTTACTTTATAATGGTTTTCCACCCGCACGCGTGGTCCTCTCTCTGAAGCGTGTTCCATCGACTGACAGGAGCCTCCAGCACAGTAGCTGTTTGTGTTTCTCACGATGTCCCTAACAGCGTGACGCAGCACGACACACCATACACACCACATACACACCCAAACTCATACACTAACGCTTAAGCTTCGTTTCGCTGCAGGAATTGTGAAAGAGAGGGGCGGATTGCATTGCAAATTGATTCCATTGATTCATATCGCGTTTTTGGTGAGCACAGCCCTTGAGGCGTCATCCTCGACCAGCGCTTAACTCTGACTTAGCGGGTCGCGTGCTGCACCATGCGCCATTGTTCGATGACTGCGTGCTTCTGCAGTTCCCTTTGTTTCCTTTACTATGCCACTCCATTTTCCTCGTGTCCACTCACCATAAATACCGATGGTTACTTTTTATATATTTAAAAGGAATGGTTGCTAAATTAGCTGTAAAGAAATCGAAGTAACACCACTATTCCACCTATTAAATACACAAGAGCATGTGTATGCTTTATAAAACGGAATTGACCGATTAAGGAAATTAATCATACTTACTGTATAGTAGTGCAATTTTAAAATAATTTCACGGGCGGTCTGTCTATATTACTTTCTGCTGGTCTTACTACAACATTCTCTCCCATTTTCTTTATGTTTTGGTAATACAAAATTATTAATATAATTGTTTGCCTTTTTTATGGTGGCAAAAAATATTTACAGCCCAATTTTACATATATGTTTATGGATAAGCTGGAATATATGTTATGAAAATTCATAACAAACCCTTTTAAAAGTATTCACACACTAGAATATATTTTACAGGTGCAAGGCGTGCCAAAGATATCCTTCTTCTACCAACTCTTTTGATTAATATTTTGGAATGCTTTATGTTTTATAATCTCTGACGAGTTTATATTGCTGCGTGACTAGCGACAGCCATAAAATGTGAATACATATATAGTCCGTGTAAAGGTGTGCTTACCAATTGAAGCGTTATTACGGAAATGTGCATTAATAGTGCATGAGCGGATTGATTAATGCGGCAATAAGATAAAGGACCAAGGACCGCTTTAAGGCTCTCGCCAAACAAAACTGCAATTGTTTAAAGTCGCGCAAAGCGTGCTTTATAAATAATTATTCGAAATGCTGTGTTCAGTTGTCCAATGGCACTGGAACAGGACTCAACTTAACGGGACTCGAACCCATTTATATTGACACCATGTGGCTTCTGGGGTGGGGCGATGGGTCGCTTTTATCGCTCATATTTTCATTTACGTAAAGTGCACAATGCAAATAAATAAAAGTAAAGTATGGGGGGAAATAAAAAGGGTTGCCGCTTCGCCTTCCGAACTTTTGACAAACCGTTGCCCAGCCAAATTGCTGAACATCTGTGTCTTACAGCATATGACGCGATGTGTCGTAACTGGTCAAGCTTGTGGGCATGAATGTGGGCGCAGAATGTGTGCGGCTGGTCAGTCCTCAGTGGAGCGACACGCAAATGGACGGTTGGGTTGACCAACGGATACACGCACTTATTAAAAGACAAAAAATAACACACATAAAACTGGAACTGAAAACTGACGGAATAAATGTGCAATGAAAGGATGCCATTATATTGCCCCGATTGGGAATCGGAGGTAAGGAACTGAAAACTCAGGTATCAGCTGGCGTTTATTTAAACACAGAGTGAGTCGTTTGTTTAACGCGCGTGCATTCAAAAAAGTTTTGCCCTTTTACGATAGTATATAATAGCGTATCCTAGGTATTCCTATCGTCAATGAGGTACTACGGCAGATTTCACAATGATCCCTTGTTAAGTGTAACTTAATTTAAAATTTAGCAAACGGTCGTATAACAAAGAAGGGTTCGTCAAATTAAAATTTGAAATTTCGCTTGCAAACTTTTCTGTCCCTGTGGCGCTTATGCAAAATGTTGTTCTATTGAATTTACACTTAGGAACTTTTCTCATGCTCTGGCCAGTCCAGGACAAGCATCTTAAATGAGGGCCTCCACCTATGATGTGATGACGTAATGTCAAGCTGCAGCAAAGTAATGACCATGCTTTGGGTCTAGTCAGTGATCCGTGCCTGTTGGGTAACACACACACACACACACACACATACATACATACACGCACCCACACTGAGAGGTCCTTAACATATCCTGGCACACGCACGCTCCTTACTATAATAGACTTCAAAAAATAATTTCGCCATCGTCTAGGACAACTAAAACTTGACACTTTGCAAAGAAACTTTCTGTGGTCTGAGTTTTGTACTTTTGAGTTGTGCCTCGGACAAGGCATTCGGCAGGCGGGTATAGACAGTAGGTTGGAGAGAGTCTGAAGGAGGAAGTTGAAGGAGGGATCAGGGCCAGTGACAGCTTAATTTCATTTCAGCACAAATTTCCAACTTGTAAGCTATCGAAATTCTATTGTTTTTGTTGTTTTTGCCTGTGCAAGAAAGACATAATGAATTATGCAGCAAAAAGTAGAGAATCTCTAATTCAACTGGGTAGAAAGTTTTCGCATAATTTAATTTAACTGCAAATGAACATGTGTAGCTGACGAGTGAAAATATTCATAAGTGTTCATAAAAGATTCAACAGGAATTTACGGCTTATCGGATTGCTTATCAACTTTGAATTTGCCTATTTCAAATTGTAATTGCTTTACC